ACTCCACATGAGACACCCCCCACTCTGGTTGACTCTCCCCTCCTGTCTAAAAGGACATAAACACCACTCCAGCTATTATGTCCTCATGTTTATGAAAACATACCTACTCTCAAAGACGAAGTCCAGGGGACAAAAGCTGCCTCCAGTTCACTCCCTTCCCAACCCAGTGTCCTGCCAGTGCCTGTGCACAGCTCCTCTCCTCTGCATTCCCTCCCTCTCTCTGGCTGGGGTGCCTTTCCCTGTGAGGAGAGAGGCTCAATGAATGTTTAGGGTGTGCATGAACCAGTGAGAAGGTTTATTTTTTCACTGTTTATTTTTCTACATTCTTGAATAAGCTAAGAAAAATCCAGGTTTGTGTGTGTGTTTGTGTGTGTGTATGATACAAGAATTCAAAAATTAACTATTTTATCTGTTTTACAGCTAAGTTCTTCCACATTAAAAAATACGATTCCAATTCCATATTATCTTGTTACAGAGTACAAATAAAATGGCAGATTCCTAATTAGTTTTACAAAATAGCAAAGTGCTTTCTCTTCAGTTAAATAACAATAAACATGTGACCTGTGTCATTTGTAAAGTTAGGTTCTGAAGCTAATAAACATTCTACTTAAAGTAACATTTTAAAATACCAAAAATAAAAGAAGATACATTTCTAAGTCACCTCAATGGAACAGAGACACAAACATGTCATTCACTATGATTCCCTCATCCCCAGTCAGGCCCTGCACTAAGTGCTGAGATCACGACTGCCCTCCTAAAACACAAAGTAAAGAAATCTGCCCTGGATTTCACTCAGGGCAGAAGAAGCTACTGGCCATGGCAGAAGAGCTTGCACTGGCCATGGCAGTAGTATCATCTGTGGTGCTAACTCTGGCCTGGGCTCTCTGTTCCTCCTCTCTCAAAGCCTCCTGATACCAGTGTGTGTATGATCTGGGGTCACACCCACTGACCTGGGCCAAAAACTCCAGGACTTTCAACTTGGTGGTCTCAGCGTGGGCCCTGGGACCCCACAGGAACTCGTACCGTGCAGGATCGCTGTTGGGCACCTGCCGGTACTCCAGGTACTGTTCCTGCACCCAAACTCTGGTGAGGAGCTCCCTGGGCTCCCCATAGATGCTATGCTCCATCCCAGCATGCACCCCCATGGCATTCAGTGCTTCCCATATCCTCTCTTCGGGGGCACAATCATGCTCCGAGAAGATTATAGTAAGGATGAGTATCAGAAGGCCAGTCTTGGGCATACTGTGCTCATCGCTCACCATCCCATCATAGGTGAGGCCCAGGTTGGTGACTAGGACATAGGTGTGGCTGGTGGGGTCCACTTCCTTCACATCAATGCCATAAACCAGCTGCATGCACTCAGAGGCCTCCCTAAAGATTACAGCAAAGTGGTCCTGGTGCTCTCTGATGATGCTACTCAGCATTTCTGCCCTTGTGGTCAGCTCCTTTGTGCGATACTTCAGGAGCAGGAACCCCACCAGATCAGCTACCTTATCATTAATCACATATCTGGGCAAGGGCGCTGGGCCTGGCAGGGCCCAGGAGGTACTCGGACCCTCCCCTTCTTCGCTGCTGGATTGGCTCAAGGGAGCAGCAGCGGCAAAGGCAGTAGGGGAGGCATAGGCACTTGGAGAGCTCCGGGGAGAACTCGGTGCCCCAGCAGCAGCAGGAACCACCTCCACCTCCTCCTCTTCCTCCTTTTCCTCCCCCTCCTCCTCTTCCTCCTCCTTCTCCTCCTCCTCCACCTCCTCCTCCTCCTCCTCCTTCTCCTCCTCCTCCTTCTCCTCCTCCCTCTCCTCCTCCTCCTCCTCCTCCTCCTTCGCCTCCTCCTCCTTCTCCTCCTCCTCCTCCTCCTCCTCCTCCTCCTCCTCCTCCTCCTCCTCCTTCTCCTCCTCCTCCTCCTCCACCTCCTCCTCGTCCTTCTGCTCCTCCTCCTCCTCCTCCTCCTCCTCCTCCTCTGCCTCTTTCTCCTTCTCCTCCTCCTCCTCCTCCTCCTCCTCCTTCTCCTCCTCCTCCTCTTCCTCCTCCTCCTCCTCTTCTTCCTCCTCTTCCTCCTCCTTCTCTTCCTCATATGAGGTGCTTGGGTTACTTGAAAGCAGAGGATAGGAAGAGGAAGAGGAGGAGGAGGAAAAAGAGGAAGGAAAAGAAGAGGAGCAGGTGGAGGAGGAGGAGGAAGAATCCTCTTCCACAGCCTCAGGAATCTCAAGCTTGTAGCGTCTTCGCTTTGGAGCTCGAGGCATGATGACTCGTGTCAGGCAGCCACAGGAGTGCGGGCAGGAGGGGCGCAAGGAGGACTCACAGGCCTGGGGGAGAGAGGAAGGGTAAGTGGCCTCAGCTGAGTACACCCTTGGCAGCTGTGAGACAGTGGAACTGCAGGTCTCCTCTTTAGGGGTGCTCTTGGGCCTCACTGTGGTCTCTCCTCCTGGGTGGCCTGTCCCCTAAGATCCTGAATGCGGAAGTCAGATGGCTCTTTGGGGTACAGTCGGCATAGGCCAGGGTTCTGTGGCTGGCAGTGGGGTGGGGTCGGGTACTGAGGGAGTTCTCATCTATTCTGGCATGGGGGAGACCCTAGGGACACATTCTAGGTCAGGGCAGGCACCTCACCTTGACTGCTGGCACTGCCTGAACCTCCTCTGCTCTGTGACCTGTGTTTTGTGCCTCAGACCTAGGCCTTTATCTCCTGGTTCCTGGAGCACCTGTAAGAGGAAACGAGGAAACACCTCAGCGTGCAGGTGGCATGCACAGCCATGGGCCTCCAGTGCTGACAAGAGGAAGGCCAGGATGCTGTGAGGTCCCCACTCTTCTGGGCTGGATGGTCTCCTGCATCCTCCCTTAGCATCCTCTCCTTTCCCCTGGCAGGGCCTGGAACCTCCCCTTGCTGGACCTGAGGCAAAACTCTCAGAACAAGGCTACATACCCCTGAAAATGAACAGAAGAAAGTGAGCGGGCCCCGCAACAGACCACAGCTGCCCAGAACCTCCCACGGGATACAGTATGACATGGCCAAACTCTGTGGGGTCTATCTGTCCTGGGACGGGGAGTCCCCTCAGTCCTAACTGTGACATCTGACAGGGTCTTGGATAACTTCCTGTGCTGACCTGAGGCCACTTACCTTCAGACTGAAAAGCTCACCTTCCTGAGTCACTGGTGGAGGACGTGAGGGACAGCACGGCTAGCCACCATGTTCCACTTTCTCTCGTGGCTGACAAGTGGCAAAGTAAGGCTGGGACTCCCCCTGTTGTGATGTGAGTGGTTCCCTCAGTCCTCAGCTGAACCTTGAAAAGAGACAGCAAGACTCAGGAGCACGGGAGGAGCATTAGGGTTCCTTCTGTCTTTCCTCAGATTGCTCACCTGCAAAGAGGTCAGGGCCCGGGCCACCTCCCGCTCCTCCTTTGCTGACCTGCATGTGCTCCCCTCAGTCCAGGTCTCTCACCTACCTGAGGCCCCCCCCCCCCCAGCCACATCAGAGTGCTCTCAGTTGGACAGCCCTGCCTGGTGTGTCAGAGCTGAAAGTGGAAGTGGGGTGCCTGTCCGTGAGGCCCACATTTGTTCTGGAGGACAATTCCCCCTCCTTCCTCCCGCATGGTCAATAGCTTGGCCACCTGCAGTGCCCGAGTGTCCTGGCTCTGCTGTCCATACGCCTCACCCTTTGTGTAAGGCCCCACCTCTTTCATCTTCCTGAGAGCAAAGGGAGCGGGAGAAGCCATGGGAAAGCGATTCCAGAAATCCCAGGGCTGAGCGCAGGTGCAGGCGTCTGTGGGGTTCCCACTGTGGTGGGATCCAAGGTTCCCTCAGTTCTCCCTTAGGATCCTCCCTTGACTCTGGCAGGTGCTGGCCCCACCCTCTGCTGATGTGAGGTCCTGCTCTTTATACCCAAGCCCCAGACTGTCAGACCCAGATGCACCAATGAGGAAATGCCCCCTAGGATCATCCTCCACGAGGCCTGCTGGATGGACTGTGGAGGGCCCTGGGCCCACCCTCTGCCGTTCTCAAGTATTGTTCCCGGTACCGACCCGGTTGTGCAAGTCAGCGCATGCTGTGTGTGGTCATCCTCCAGCGGGATCCCAGCACTGACTCTGGTTTGGTTTCCAGGGTCCCTCCGTCCTCCCTCAGGGTCCTCACCTTGGCTCTGGCAGGTCCCTGGCCCACCATCTGCCGAGATGGGGTCCTCCTCCCTGTACGGAACCCCCAGAGTCTCTGAGACCAGGACTGACTCTGGTCTAGCTTCCAGGGTCCCTGGCCCACCATCTGCCGAGATGGGGTCCTCCTCCCTGTACTGAACCCCCAGAGTCTCTGAGACTGGGACTGGAAGCGGAAGGGAGGAAGGGGGTGTGGTCATCCTCCCACATGGCCCCCATCTGCTCTGGCAGGAGCTGGCTCCGCCCTGTGCTGACGGGGGTCCTCATCCTCACAGCCACCCCCAGAGACTCTCAGACCCGCCTGTGGAGGTCAGGTAATGTCCCGCGTGTCCCCCTCCCGAGTCCTGCGGGCTGGCTCTGTGGGGGTCTGGGGTCCTCCCATCCCCTACTGCCAGCTGACCGGGACTCTGGGAAGCTGCTCTGCACTCCATGGCGGAGGAGAGGCCCAGCTCCTTACCACCGCCCCTTCCCTGCCCCCGCTGTGCAGTCGGGACACCGCGCATGGCCACCCGCCACGGGGCCCCTCGCAGAGGACAGCAGGGGCACTTGTGCGGCTTCCCGCTGCGGTGCGGTGGGACCCGGCTGCTCACCGGGACTCCCGCAGGGCCCGGCCCCCCTCGGCCCAGGTGAGGTCCGCCACACCCCGCCAAGCCCCGCAAGGCCCGCGTCATGGGAGCCCAGGAAAAGGTCACAGAGGCTGCCTACCGCTGTGGGCTTCACCCCCTGCGGGCCCGGGGCTGGCTCTGCTCCTGACGGCAGAGGCCCTGGGTCCAGCCCCGTCTGAGGGACCCGGGTGGCCTCGGGGCCTCCTCCCACGCAGCTGCCCGCCACATGGACCCTGGAAGCCCTGGGCCCACCTGGGCCCTGTGGAGGGACGCGCCTAGCCCCTCACCCCCGAGTACCCAGACCTGGCTGCGCCAACCACAACAGGCCGTGTGTGGTCACCCCCAGGGGCTCCCAGGACGGAAACCGTTGTCCCAGGGCCCGGGGTCCCTCGCCCTCCCTGGCACCCTCACCTGGACTCGGGCGGGTCCCGGGCCGCCCTCAGGATGTGAGCGCGTTCAGGATCTCCTGGGCATCCCCAGGGTCTCAGAGACCCGGATGCAGAAGTGAGGAACGTGCTGGGGCAGGGTCTCTGAGACCCGGATGAGGCGTGTGTGGTCCCCCTCCCAGAAGCCCTTCCATGCTGAGCCTGTGGTGGGGGCAGGGTCTCTTCCGCCCCCGCTGCTCACTGACCCTAGGCAGCTTCTGCCCCCCTCTGCTAACCAGAAGCCCTGCTCTTGATGGGTGTCCCCGCCTGAGGCCCGTCCTGGAAGGCAGGTGGACCCGAACAGAATCGGAGGTTCTGCTGCCTGCCTCAAGGACAGCCAAAAGCAGGGGGCGGGTGCTGCCGAGAAAGGAAAGGATTGATTCCCGAGCCACCTGACCTGGGCCAATGGTGGACTCCTGTCCCCAAAACCACTGTCCTCCTCCTACCTACGCCCGCCTTTCTTGTTGTTGTCTTCATTGCCAACAGTGTTACAGAGGTCCCCTATTCCTCATGGACCCCTTCCAGCCGGAACCAGCCCCTGCCCCAGGCCTTCACTACACTATTGCCTGTGTCCATGGGTTATGCACCCAAGTTCTTTACTCCATCTCTTCCCACCCACCCGCGCTTCTCCTCTGAGATTTAACAATCTGTTTCAGGCTTCTAAGTCTCAGGATCTATTTTGTTCATCACTTTAGTTTGCTCTTTACACCCCACATAGGAGAGAGATCCTGTGATACTTGCCTTTCTGGCTTATTCCACTTAGCATAGTAGCCTCTGGGTCCCTCCATGCTGTCCCTCAGGGCAACAGATTGCTGTGCCCAGATCTAGGCGACTGTCCTCCTGAGATGCCTCTCTGGGCTCACTGACTGTCTCAAGGACTCTGACCTTTAGGGAAAAGGGAAAGCTGCCAGGCAATATCTTGGTGCTGTCACACTTTTTGGTTCTGCTCATTCCTGGGTTGTACAAAGAGAAATGTTTTAGAAGTGGTTAGTGTTCGGGACTCCTTTACACATTTTCCCTCTCTTGGTCTGGTCCAGTGGTTGGCAAACTCATTAGTCAACAGAGTCAAATATCAACAGTACAACTATTGAAATTTCTTTTGAGAGCCAAATTTATTATTTTTTAATTTTTTTATTTCTTTCTTGTTTTTCCTTTCTATATATATATATATATATATATATATATATATATATATATATATATTTTATTGCATAAAGTATTACATATGTGTCCATTTTTTCCACCCCGCCCTAGACAGTCCCCTAGCCTCCCCTATCCCCCAGTGTCTTATGTCCATTGGTTATGCTTATATGCATGCATACAAGTCCTTTGGTTGATCTCTTACCACCCTACCTCCTGTCCCCCAACCCTCCCCGGCCTTCCCGCTGCAGTTTGACAATCTGTTTGAGGCAGCTCTGACTCTGTATCTATTATTATTCAAAAGTTTATAATGGTCTCTATTATCCATGAATGAGTGAGATCATGTGGTATTTTTCCTTCATTGACTGGCTTATTTCACTTAGCATAATGCTCTCCAGTTCCATCCATGCCGTTGCAAATGGTAAGAGTTCCTTCTTTTTTACAGCAGCATAGTATTCCATCGTGTAGATGTACCACAGTTTTCTGATCCATTCATCTACTGATGGGCACTTAGGCTGTTTCCAGATCTTAGCTATGGTGAATTGTGCTGCTATGAACATAGGGGTGCATATATCCTTTCTGATTGGTGTTTCTGGTTTCTTGGGATATAGTCCTAGAAGTGGGATCACAGGGTCAAATGGGAGTTCCATTTGTAGTTTTTTGAGGAAAATCCATACTGTCTTCCATAGTGGCTGCACCAGTCTGCATTCCCACCAGCAGTGCACAAGTGTTCCTTTTTCTCCACATCCTCTCCAGCACTTGTCGTTTGTTGATTTGTTGATGATAGCCAATCTGACAGGTGTGAGATGGTACCTCATTGTTGTTTTGATTTGCATCTCTCGGATGATTAGTGACTTTCAGCATGTTTTCATATGTCTCTTGGCTTTCTGAATGTCCTCTTTTGAAAGGTGTCTATTTAGGTCCTTTGCCCATTTTTTGATTGGATTGTTTATCTTCCTATTGTTAAGTTGTATGAGTTCCCTATAAATTTTGGAGATTAGGCCCTTATCAGGTATGACATTGGCAAATATGTTTTCCCACACAGTGGGTTTTCTCGTTGTTTTGTTGATGGTTTCTTTTGCTGTGCAGAAGCTTTTTATTTTGATGTAGTCCCATTTGTTCATTTTCTCTTTACTTTCAAGTGCCCTAGGAGCTGTATCAGTGAAGAAATTGCTTCGGCATATGTCTGAGATTTTGTTGCCTTTGGATTCTTCTAGAATTTTTATGGTTTCCTGTCATACATTTAAGTCCTTTATCCATTTTGAGTTTATTTTTGTGTATGGTGTAAGTTGGTGGTCTAGTTTCATTTTCTTGCATGTATCTGTCCAATTTTCCCAACACCATTTATTGAAGAGACTATCTTGGCTCCATTGTATGTTCTTGCCTCCTTTGTCAAATATTAATTGAGCATATTGGTTCAGGCCGATTTCTGGGCTCTCTATTCTATTCCATTGATCTATATGCCTATTCTTGTGCCAGTACCAGGCAGTTTTGAGAACAGTGGCTTTGTAATACATTTTGATATCTGGTATTGAGATCCCACCTACTTTGTTCTTTCTCAGGATTGCTGCAGCTATTTGGGGTCTTTTTTTATTCCAGATGAATTTTTGGAGAGTTCGTTCTAGATCTATGAAGTATGCCATTGGTATTTTAATGGGAATTGCGTTGAATTTATAGATTGCTTTGGGTAGTATGGACATTTTAATGATGTTGATTCTACCAATCCATGAACACGGTATGTTCTTCCATCTGTTTATGTCTTCCTCTATATCTTTTTTCAATGTCCTGTAGTTTTCCGAGTAGAGGACTTTTACCTCTTTAGTTAAGTTTATTCCTAGGTAGCTTAATTTTTTTGGTGCGATGGTAAACAGGATTGTTTTTATAATCTCTCTTTCTGAAAGTTCACTATTGGCGTATAGAAATGACTCAGATTTCTTGGGGTTAATTTTGTATCCTGCTACATTGACAAATTCATGTATTAAGTCTAGTAGCTTTTTGATGGAGTCTCTAGGGTTTTGTATGTATAATAAATATCATGTCGGCTGCAAATAAGGACAGTTTTACTTCCTCTTTTCCAATTTGGATGCCTTTTATTTCTTCTTCTTGCCAAATTGCAATGGCTAACACTTCCAGTACTATGTTGAACATGAGTGGTGAGAGGGGGCATCCCTGTCTTGTTCCTGTTCTTAGGGGAAATGGTGCTAGTTTTTGTCCATTGAGTATGATGTTGGCTGTGGGCCTGTCATATATGGCTTTTATTATGTTGAGGTATGATCCTTCTACTCCCGCCTTGCTGAGAGTTTTTATCAAAAATGGGTGTTGAATTTTGTCAAATGCTTTTTCTGCATCAATTGATATGACCATGTGGTTTTTTTCTTTCAATTTTTTTATGTGATGTATCATATTTATTGATTTGCAGATATTGTACCATCCTTGCATCCCTGGGATAAATCCTACTTGGTCATGGTGTATGATCTTTCTGATGTACTGCTGGATCCGATTTGCTAAGATTTTGTTGAGGATTTTGGCATCTATGTTCATGAGGGATATTGGCCTGTAATTCTCTTTCATTGTGTTGTCTTTACCTGGTTTTGGTATTAGGGTGATGCTGGCTTCATAGAATGAGCTTGGAAGTGTTCCTTCCTCTTGAATTTTTTGTAGTAGTCTGAGGAGTATAGGTTTTAGTTCTTCGTTGAATGTTTGGTAAAACTCCCCTGTGAAGCCGTCTGGTCCTGGGCTTTTGTTTGATAGAAGCTTTTTGATGACTGCTTCAATTTCTTCCATAGTTATTGGCCTGTTGAGATTTTTAGATTCTTCCTGATTGAGTTTTGGAATATTGTATTTTTCTAGGAATTTGTCCATTTCCTCCAGGTTGTCTAGTTTGTTGGAGTAGAGCTGTCCATAGTATTTTTTAACAATCATTTGTATTTCTGTGGGGTCTGTTGTTATTTCGCCTCTATCGTTTCTGATTTTGTTTATTTGGGTCCTCTCTCTTTGCTCCTTGGTAAGTCTGGATAGAGGTTTGTCAATCTTGTTTATCCTTTCAAAGAACCAGCTCTTGGTTTCATTGATTTTCTGTATTGTTTTTTTGGTCTCTATGTCATTTATTTCTGCTCTAATCTTTATTATCTCCTTCCTTCTGCTCACGCTGGGGTTTTCTTGTTGCTCTCTTTCTTATTCTTTGAGTTGTAGAGTTATATGATTTACTACCATTTTTTTTTGTTTTTTGAGATAGGCCTGTAGAGCTATAAACTTCCCTCT